ATATATATATATATATAATGTAAAAAGTGAATTTCTATTTTCTCAGGGGATCATCTTGTACTCCTCCTGGGCTCTGATCATGCTTACTTTGGAGAGCTCCAACCTAATATAAGTAAAGCTTGCCTCTCACATATGATTATAGGTGTCCTTAAGGAAGGCTTATCTGCTTATTTTATGTTCTCCATAATATTTAGCATCATATTTTTCCAGCACTATTCTAGATACTTTATTAGGTGTGAAATGCGTTTTTAAGAATGCCAGGATGAATTTGGACTGTGGGTTTTTTATTAACCATTTTAACCATGAGTACAATTTAGTGGCATTAAGTGCATTCACAATATTAATCATCATCATGCCAAACAGAAACTCTGTACCCATTCAGCAATAATGCCCCATTTTACCTCCATCTCCTATACCTCTATTCTACTTTCTGTCTCTATGAATTTGATTGTGCTAGGTACCCCATGTAAATGGGATCATACAATATTTTTTCTTTTGTGTTTGGCTTATTTCAGTTAGCATAGTGTTTTCTAGTTTTCCTTATTTGAGACAGTTTTCTTGTTATTTATTAATATACAATTCTGCCTCTACTGCTCTTCCTGTCTTACTCCTTTTACTTAATTTTTTTTCTTTCATATATTTTGAGTTAATTTTTGTATGTGGTGTAGGGAGAACATTCAACTTTATTGTTTTGTATGTGCGTGTTCAGTTTTCCAAATACCATTTGTAGAAAAGATCATCCTTTCCCCATTAAATGGTTTGCCATCCTTTTCTAAAATCAATAGACCATATATGTGAGGGTTTATTTCTGTTCCATAAAGTCTGTTCTTATGCCGGTCCCACACTGTTTTTGGTTACTGTAGCTTTGTAGTAAGTTTTGAAATTGGGAACTGGGAGCCTTCTAAGTTTATTCCTCGTTTTTACAATTGTTTTGACTATTTGGGGCCCCTTGAGATTCCATGTGAATTTTAGGATGGGTGTTTCTGCAGAAGAATGCCATTCATTTTGATAGAGGGTTGCATTGCATCTGTAGATCATTTTGAGTAGTATTGCCTTCTGAACAGTATTATGTCTTCACATCCACAAACACAGAATGTTTTTCCATATGTGGGTTATTTTTTAAAATAACTGTGAAAATGATACTTGCATATTATACAAAGACAGAAAATATGGTAAAGTACAAAGAAAGGAAGAAATACCCCAAACCTCACCACTCATTGATAAATATTTTTAAATTTTTGGTGAACATCCTTCTGAACACCTCTTGTTTAAAATTTTACATAAATAGCATCTACTTTTTCTTAACATATAATACATATTTTTCAATGTGAAGGACTAGATTTAAATCATGTTTGTATGATTGTTTACTTAAGTGCACCCTTACTGACAGAAATTTAGTATGTTTTGGGCTCTCTGAGTAGTATTAATATCATAGTATTAATATTAGGAAAATAGTATAATATTCATGTTTTATATTTTCTCTTTTGAATGAAAAAAGGCACAAAGTTTTTCTCATAATCAATCTTTGCTTATCTGATGTACTGTAATGCATAAGTAATAGATCCTTAGTGTGTTAGGTGCAACAATGAAAAGTAGAGAACCAGATATTTGTTTAGAGCAGTGGTTCTCAACCTTGGCTGCACATTAGAATCACCTGGGAATCTTTTAAAAATCCTGATTTCTGGGCCTCATCCTCTGGAAATTCTGTTTCTTTGTTTTGGGGTGAGGCCACAACATTAGTAACAAAGAAACAGAATTTCCGGAGGATGAGGCCCAAAAATCAGGATTTTTAAAAGATTCCCAGGTGATTCTAATGTGCAGCCAAGGTTGAGAACCACTGGTTTAGAGGTTCATTTGACCATTCAATAGCACAGTGAATGAAATCACTTTGTGAAACCACAGGAACTATATTCAGTTTTATTCTCATGTTCCTGTCTTTCAGGAAGAAGGCATGGATTTAATAACTAAAGAAGCAATGAATGAATGGTGAGTACTATACTTTGAGTTACTATTCTGATCATTTGTATATTCAGTTACATCTTTTCTTTTAGATAGGCAAACTGCAGTACTCATGTTTTGTTTGTGTTGTGTGTTTTTTTCTTTTGTAGGGAGATACAAACTACAATACAGATACATCAGTCTTGGGAAGAAAATGTGAACTTGGTATGGTAGTAATACTTCAATTTCGTAGAAAATGTTTACTTATTTCAATGTTGGTGCTGCCTAGTTTTGCTGTAATTTCTAGAAATTGAAGCTCTCATTGAAAACTAAAATTATATATGCTGTATAAATTTTTGTTGTTGTTAATCCTCACATGAGGAAATTAGGATATTTTTAGAGAGAGTGGAAGGGAGGGAGGCAGGGGGAAGAGAGAGAGAGAGAGAGAGAGAGAGAGAGAGAGAGAGAGAGACATTGACATGAAAGAGACACATCGATTGGTTGCCTCCCGCATGCACCCAGACCTGGGCCAGATTCAAATCTGCAGCCCAGGTACATGCCCTGGAAGGGGAATCAAACCCATGACCTTCCGTTGGCAGGCTTATGCTCTAACCACTAAGCACACCAGCCAGGGCTGTATAAATAATTTTTATTGCTTTTAAGAAACAGTTTATGATTTACCCATATAAATAACTAACATTGTTTGAAAGTGGGGTTCAAAGTAAATAGTTGTCTGATACAAAACCATAATTTTTGTAGACCAGCTTCTTCTCAATCCTAGTGGGTCTAAAAAAAGTTCAGCTGTGCTAATTAAATTGCTCAAATGACAAAACAATAAATTATTTTACTCCCTTTTATATAAGTTATTAACTATATATTAGAGTTTTAATCCATAGACCTTGGATTTACTGGGAAAATAGCTACATTTTTATGCCTATAACATATATACTAGTATTCCCACTAATATTTTAACATTCAACTTTACCTTAAATGTATTTGGAATTTAGTTACCACTGACTTGTTTCTGAGAAAAGTGACAGGGCTTTTCTTGTCTTTTAATTTTATTGAATTTATTGGGGTGACATCGGTTAATAAAATTATATACGATTCGATGTACAATTCTACAATATATCATTCATATATTGTATTGTGTGTTCACTACTCCAAGTCAAGTCTCCTTCCATCACCATTTATCCCCCCTTTACCTTCTTTAATCTCCCCCCCACCCCCTTTCTCTCTGGTAATCACCATACTTTGTGAGTTTTGGAGTTTTTTTGTGTTTGGAGTGTGGTTTTTTTTTTTATTATTAATTCCTTCACCTTTTTACCCAGCCCCCCAACCCCCATCCCTTCTGACAGCTGTCAGTCTGTTCTTTGTATCTATGAGTCTGTTTTTGTTTTTGCGTGTTTTTTTATATTCTCTTTTATTTTTGGCAGTTTTATAATTTTATATGAGTCTGTTTTGTTTGTTAGTTTATTTTGTTCATTAGATTCCACATATAAGTGAAATCATTGAAATAAGCCAGTCAGAGAAAGAAAAGTGGCATCTTTAAAACCTCTTTCCAATTTGGTTTCAGCAGTGCTTTTCTACATATTACTAACTTGTGGGAATTGCACCAGTTTGCTTGCAATTCCTATTCCCAGTCCTATGCAACAATTTACAATGTAAGTTTATATGAAAATACCAAATTGCTTATAAAATAAGAATTTTAGAAATGTAAAAGAAATGATAGCTCCAGGTTATATGACAAAGAAATTTATTTTTAGCTACATTAAAATGTAATTGTTTGGGGTTTATAATTTTGTATATTGAAAAGAATCAAGTAACTGAGAACATGTGAGAATACGTTAACATATGAAGAATCAGTAACTCATTAATCCTGTTTGAAAATAGTCTTCCTATGAAGCTTGTTGATAAGAATCAGAGCTAATCTCGAACTTTAAACAACTATATCTGCTAATTCACCCATGATTCTCACTTGATTCAAGGCAAGTCAAGGCCAGGATTGCAGATCATTCCAGTTCTTTCCCCCACAACTCAGGAAAATCCTGAATCCCTATAAATTACAAGAGAATTTTCTGTCCTGTGGCATTTCTATTTTTAATCCAGATTTAGAGAAAGCAGTAAAATGATGTGATGTAGCCCTAACCAGTTTGGCTCAGTGGATAGAGTGTCAGCGTGCAGACTCAAGGGTCCCAGGTTCGATTCCGGTCAAGGGCATGTACCTTGGTTGTGGACACATCCCCAGTAGGGAGTGTGCAGGAGGCAGCTGATCAATGTTTCTAACTCTCTATCCTTCTCCCTTCCTCTCTGTAAAAAAATCAATAAAATATATTTTTAAAAAAATGATGTGATGTAAGGTACTACACAGTCTCCTTTTAAAGTCTATGTTCTGAGATCTGTTACAATGAAATAGTCATAGATAGCTGATTTTGTTCAAAAATTTTCTTGTAATGATTGTGATAATTTTATTTTGGAAGAAGTCAAAATTCCACCAACACTATTAGACCAAATATCCCTGGATCATTAAAAAGAAAAGGTACTTTGTTTACATTTTATATATTTTTTATTGATTACGTTATTACATATGTGTCCTTATCCCCACATTATCCCCTACCCCCCCATGCCCTCACCCCCCTGTTGTCTGTGTCCATTGGTTAGGCCTATATGCTTGCATATAAGTCCTTCGGTTGATCTCTCCCCCTTACCCCCACCCTCCCCTACCTTCCTTCTGAGGTTTAACAGTCTGATTGATGCTTCTCTGTCTCTGGATCTGTTTTTATCAGTTTATGTTATTCATTATATTCCACAAATGAGTGAGATCATGTGATATTTATCTTTCTCTGACTGGCTTATTTCACTTAGCATAATGCTCTCCAGGTCTATCCATGCTGTTGCAAATGGTAAGAACTCCTTCTTTTTTACTGCAGCATAGTATTCCCTTGTGTAGATGTACCACAGTTTTTTAATCCACTCATCTGCTGATGGGCACTTAGGCTGTTTCCATATCTTAGCTATGGTGAATTGTACTGCTATGAACATAGGGGTGCATATGTCCTTTCTAATTGGCGTTTCTAGTTTCTTGGGATATATTCCTAGAAGTGGGATCACTGGGTCAAATGAGAGTTCCATTTTTAGTTTTTTGAGGAAACTCCATACTGTTCTCCACAGTAGCTGCACCAGTCTGCATTCCCACCAGCAGTGCAAGAAGGTTCCTTTTTCTCCACATCCTCACCAGCACCTGTCATTTGTTGATTTGTTGATGATAGCCATTCTGACAGGTGTGAGATGGGACCGTATTGTTGTTTTGATTTGCTTCTCTCAGATGATTAGTCTTGCAATGATTGTGATAATTTTATTTTAGAAGAAGTCAAAATTCCAAAAACACTATTAGACCAAATATCCCTGGTTCATTAAAAAGAAAAGGTACTTTTATCTACCAGCAGAAATAAATATAGCTTTGAATTATTTTTATAAAATTCTATCTAATAAAAGAGAAACATGGTAATTAGCTGTACCTCCGCTACCCTTCCCATTGGCTAATCAGAGCGATATGCAAATTAACTGCCAACAAAGATGGCGGCTAATTTGCATACTGCAGGCAGGATGGGACAGCGCCATTCTGCCTGCCCCGCCACCATCCGGGCCTGCTATCTGTGACCCTGATGGCGGGCGACCCCTGTGCAACCCGACCAAGGGCTGGCGGGCATGACCCCAGTGATCCGCCACTGGCCAGGCCCCCAACCGGCTCTCCCTTGGGAGATCCCCCGGCACTGGCGGGAACTGCTGCCTGTCAGCCAGCAGTCACGCCCCCAACAGGCCCTCCCGCCAGGGATGAGCAACCAGAGATCCCACAGCAGGAAAGGGGGGCCTGCAGCCAGCCCCTGTGTGCGCCTGCCCATGGGATCTCCGCAGTGATCATGGAGCAGGATACGGCGGCCTGCAGCCAGCCCCTGTGTGCGCCTGCCTTTGGGATCGCTGGGGCGATCACGGAGCAGGAAAGGGCAGCCTGCAGCCAGCCCCTGTGTGCGCCTGTCCCTGGGTAGCCCTGGCGATCCCACAGCAGGAAAGGGTGTCCCACCCTGGCCACAGCTCAAGGGAGAGTACAACATGCAGTGGATGCCAGGAGCCTGAGAGATCAACAGAGAGGGGTGCCTGCTCCAAGCCTCCAGGGTGTGGCTGGGGGCAGGCCCCCAGCAGACACACACACACACACACACACACACACACACATACACACACACACACAGTGCCTACTCTGAGCTTCCAATGTGGTTGGGAGCAGACCACCAGTGGACACACACACACATGGCAACTGCTCAGAGCCTATGTGGCAGGGTTGGGGGCAGGCCCCCAGCAGACACACACACACACACACGCACACACACACACACACACACACAAACACACACACAGGGACGGCTGCACCGAGCCTCTGCTGCCAGACTGTGGCCGTCAGTAGGACATCCACTGAGGGCTCCCGGACTGAGGGGCAGGCTTGGCTGAGGGAACCCCATCCCCCAGTGCACGAATTTCGTGCACCTGGCCTCTAGTCCTATATAATAAAAGAGAAACATGTAAATTGACCATCCCTCTGCTACACTCACCAGTCAATCAGGAGTGAGTATGCAAATTAACCAGACAAAGATGACAGGTTAATTTGCATACACAGGCACCAGGTGGAGAGCAGAGTGGGAGAGCAAGTGGCTTGGGGGGACGTGGTTCCCTTGGTCGCTCCCTGCAAGCTGTCGGGTGGAGAGCAGAGGGGGAGAGCAGGCGGAGAGTGGAGCGGCTTGGGGAACTTGGCTCCCCAAGCCACCAGACGGAGAGCAGAGAGGAAGAGCTGGTGGCTTGGAGGACTTGGCAGAGTGGGAGGCCATGGGACGGAGACAGAGCAGGAAGGGAAAACCAAGAGCATGGGGAGCACCAGGAATTCTGGGAATAGTCGTTCTGGTGGCAGCCCCAGGACCAGAAGTGGAAGCCCAGAATGCGGGGACCACCAGTAATGCTGGGAATCATATTTCTGGTGGCAGACGAATCTCCTAGACCAGTGGTTCTCAACCTGTGGGTCGTGACCCCTTTGGGGGTTGAACGACCCTTTCACAGGGGTCGCCTAAGACCATCGGAAAACACATATATAATTACATATTGTTTTTTGTGATTAATCACTATGCTTTAATTATGTTCAATTTGTAACAATGAAATTGGGGGTTACCACAACATGAGGAACTGTACTAAAGGGTCGCGGCATTAGGAAGGTTGAGAACCACTGCCCTAGACACTAGAGCAAAGTGAGCCTGGAGCAAGTTACTGTTGTGGTGGGGGATGGAGGGAAAGCAAAGGTGAGAGACATAAGTAAAATCAGAGTGTCTAGGAAAAATTAAAGAGAAGATATCCTAAAACTTCCAGGAAATCTCCACCAATGAAGCAAAGAAAAAAATGCCTCTATTATTCCGTGAGCAACAAACCAAACTGAATTGGGGTCTCATACAATTTGCTCATATGATTGCAAAGACAGACAGAAACTCCCGGATTGGAGAGGGCTTCCCTGAGGGCTCCCAGGTTGGAGAGGGTGCAGGTTGGGCTGAGGGATGCCCACACCCCCCAGTGCATGAATGTCATGCACCAGGCCTCTAGTATTTTATAAAATCAAATGTTATACAAAAATTTGTCTTAAAGGATTTATTTATTTATAATATATTTGATAAGTTACTAGATACCTTTTATTTTACTCAAACAAAACTATATGTAAAGACATTTTGAAAGCTATAAAATACCATATAAATGTGAATTGAGAAAATTAATTCCATTTAGTCAACGGTTATGATTTTTATGATGTGAGTATAATTCACCAAGCTAGTTGCCTTAAATGCTTTCTGAAAAAAGGTAGGGAATGAACAAATAAATAGAGTAAATCAGTCATCAAGTATTCTGCTGAATGTCAGCCCCTACACTTACAACACCAAAATATATGCTAAGGTTCAATGTTTTACTTCTTTATGAGAGCCATTTTTGTTTAAATATATGGAAAATGACCCACCTACTCAGTAATAAAATGGCAATAAAAAACTGATTTTTTTTCTAACTCCCATAATCCTGGATCCCCATTCTAAACTCTGCCTCACTAAGCTATGTTCTTCTTCCTATTTTGTTAACACCACTACCGGATTATAGGCTTAGTATCAACTTTAACTATGATATGAAGGGAAAATGATAAAGGAGATAAAACTTTTAAAATGTGTATTTGCAAAAAAAATTCATTAAGATGGGAAAGAAGAAGGAGGAGGAGGAGGAGGAGGGGAAGGAAAAGAAGAGCAAAACTATAGGGGAAGAAATTGAAATGTACTTCAATGTTCATTGTATTTTGGATTAATTCATGGCAGTCTTCCTAGCAATATACCTAACTCAGCATGTATTTATTATATTCTAAGACTAAAACTAGATCAATTCTGGAAAATACTCTTTTCCAAACTAAATGCATTGTGTTATGAAGATGGATCAATGACCTAGCTTAGGGGTCTTTTGCCAGTGCTGTGAAGTTTGGGCTAGTGTTGAAAAAAGCATTCAAGTATATTAACAGTTAAGTAGCTTTTAGGGAGTTGGGGTTATTTGAGAATTTTTTAAAAACACTTAAATAAAAAAGTTTTACTAAATTAAAATAATTTTCCTTTAAGACATTTACTCATACAATGTTTTATAACATTGAAAGTGCCTAGCATTTACTTAGAATTTATGATTTAAAAATTGTTTTTATATTGCAATTTTGGCATAATAGACTTGATTTCGGCTCAGTGCATTGGTGGACATGGCATGTCACATGCAAGCTTCTTGTTCCTGGTTTTCAGCTGTTCTGAAGGATGACTGACTCATTTATTCAAGTTGTCCCAAAGAATTCCAAAGCAAGTTCTATATATACCTCATGGCCTATATTTTAAGTCAGACCCTCCTAAATATAACTTATACAAATATGTTAAAAATCCATCTGATCTTTCAGATGCAATAACAAATTAAGCAGATAAAGGTTAGAGTTTCCAAGCATATGAAGGCATAGTCTGTGAAAATAAGCAGCAATTTCTTCCATTAGGAATTAGCAAGAGCAAATAAAGCTTCAAGTGGGAGTTCTGAGAAATCTGCAGAAATTGGACAGCTATAATATTGTTGTATAAGCAATAATGGTTTTAGCAACGAAAATTTTAATTTTCTTCTCTGATGAATTTGTTTTAATTTGTCTTGTCTTTAATTTAAACCAAAAATAAGAGATGAGTCATTTTTCCATAATGGTGTCAGTGTAATCTTTCATAGGACAGGATACCTTTTTGAGCTTTATGAACCATGATAATACTCCTAAGGAAGGTCTGCGGAAACTGTTTCTATGGGTATTTTTTAATGAGTAGATGGCTTTAGTGTTTTAGCATTTAAATATATTCCACCCTAGAAGTTACGGACTTGGACATCAGTTTTTCTCATAGCCAGATATGGTTATCACATGAATGTGTAACAATGTACCGATTTTAACATTTACTTCAAGGTGAAGGTTATGGCAGTGCAGTTTTGGGAGATTAGATGTTTCTCCTTAATCTTTAAAAATATATTTATTTTGTTCATTGTATGCTACAAAGAATTGATCTATTTATATTTAGTTCAATGTTCATTTTTAGCAAAATAAAGATAGCAATGACCTAATGGTTTAAAATAAGGAATGAGATTAAATTATGGTACAGCCTTACTATATAGCTATAAAAGTCATGCTTTAGAATGTAGTGAATAGTATGATAAAATTATAATCATTAAAAATAAAAAGTAGATTACATATTGGTATTATATATAGTACAAATCCAATTTAGTTTGAAAAAATTGTATGTACATACACATATTCAGGAATTACTGGAAAGTGGTCATCTCTGAAATGTTTTTTCTTTGTGTGTTCCTGTATTTTATAAACTAACTGCAATGAACAAGTTTTACTTATTTAAAAAATATATTTTTTTATTGATCTCAGAGAGGAAGGGAGAGGAAGAGAGAAACATCAATTATAGAGAGTCATTGATTGGCTGCCTCCTGCACCCCACTACTGGGGATTGAGTCTGCAACCCAGGCATGTGCCCTTGACCAGAATCCAACCCGGAACCCTTCAGTCCACATGCCGACACTCTATCCACTGAGCCAAACCGGCTAGGGCAAGTTTTACTTTTGCAATGAAAAACATAATAAACATGTTAGATGAAACATATCTCTAACTTGATCTGCTTTTTTTGTAATAGGTGAAATTATATTTGAAGATCAGCCAAAGAGATTTTTCCAAGGCAAAACCAATGTGTTTTCTTCTGATACTACCCAGCTGTCTGATATAAATATGTGGTGAGTCTTTGTTTTAAAAATATTTTTATTGATTTTAGAGAACAAGGAAGAGGAAGAGAGAGAAACATCAATGATGAGAGAGAATCATTCATCAGCTGCCTCTTGCACACCCCACACTGGGGATCGAGCCCACAACTTGGGCATTGCCTGACCAGGAATCGACCTCCTGGTTCATAGGTCGATGCTCAACCACTGACCCATGCTGGCCGGGCTGTGGTGAGTCTTAACATGAGGTTTTAAATATTCAGCGGCCATTTTCACTTAATTTTAAGCCTACTTAGCTATTGTATATATTCACAAGTATGGTATATTATTAAATATTAAATATTTTTAGAAGTTATAAAACTAATATCCCCCAAAAACCCATTAATATCCCAAATGGATAATATTAACTTGAGTTCTCCTCCCTAGCACTTATATGTGACATTAATCACTGGTATTAAATTAAGAGGTATTAGAGAAAGACATAAAAATGCAAGGTTGGAAAAAAGTAATCTTCTGCCCATCATTTCTACCTTGGATTTTTGTGTGTCTTGTTAGATGGAGGATATTATTGAAAAATGTGCTGAAAAAGCATGTTTTAATCATCAAAATGAGAAATTCAATGAATGGATATTTATTTATTGTTACTATTGGTTTGTTTTGCTACTCTTGTGAAATTGCTCTTATAAATAGTGCCATTTCTTTGCTTCATATTTTGCATTCATTTGTAGACAAGGCAGAGTACACAGAGGGCTTTTGAATTCTTTTTGTTGTTGTTGTTGTTCTTAATCCTCACCCAAGAATATTTTTCCATTGATTTTTAGAGAGAGTGGAAGGGATGGAAGGAGGGAGAGAGAAAGAGAGAAACATTGATGTGAGAAAGACACATCACTTGGTTGCCTCCCGCACGAGCCCCAACCAGGGCCGGGGATCAAACCTGCAACCCAGGTACATGACAGGGAACCGAACCCACGATGCTTCAGTCCAAGGGCTGATGTTCCAATCATTTTGCAAAACTGGCAAGGGCTTGAATTCTTTTATCAAAAAGTGGCATTTTCTTCTTCTAGTCTATCATTTGTTCAGACACTCTTGATGGAAACAACAGCAGTATAAGATCTCCTTGTAATTCACTGGCTAAAATCAGCCCTGTCACAAACTCTCCTGTGTCTTCTGCTGATTCTAGTTCTCCATATATTATAGTTGATGAACTTTCAACTAAGTGATTCACCCATCCCAAGACTTTCTCACCATTGGAGAAACACATGTAGGCATTCTCTTGCTGGTGTACTCCATCTCTCTCTCTCTCTCTCTCTCTCTCTCTCTCTCTCTCAAGTTGTACCAATAACATAATTGTATAGTATAATTTATATCATTTCCTATTCATTTTCCCCTAAAATTCTGTTTATTTATAGAACTTGAATGTCTATGTCCTGTGTATGCCCTTAAAAGTAATGTAGTAATATTTTCAAAGATATTTTTCAAATAAGAACTATGTTGAAGATACAGTTATACGTTTTCAAGTTGCTAATATATAGAAGCATGCTGAACAATTGTTAAAAACAATTGAGAGCTCTATTTATTTATGTGAATACATAAATAAAATTGTGTCTTGATGGAATATTAATGTTAAAATGATTTTTTAAGATTATATACTGAATGTCCATGTTACTTTTTAATATTTTCAGTAATTGCTAGTTTCCACTTGGTTTAGAAAAATCAGCTATTGCAAGATGTTTTTAAAACTAAGCTAGTTGTAGCATACTAATCCAAGGATTGCCTATTTTACACATGGATCCTTGGATACTTAATTTCTTGGGAAGCAATAATGGAAGCAAGATGAATAAAAGCTAGTTGACATTTGACCCGGTAATTCCACTTCTAGGAATATATCCCAAGAAATCAGAAACATCAATCAGAAATAATATATGCACCCCTATGTTTATAGCAGCACAATTTACAATAGCTAAGATTTGGAAACAGCCTAATTGCCCATCCGCAGATGAGTGGATTAAAAAACAGTGATACATCTACACAATGGAATACTATGCTTCTATAAAAAAGAAAGAACTCCTTCCATTTGCAACAGCATTGATGAACCCGGAGAGCATTATGCTAAGTGAAATAAGGCAGTCCAAGAAAGATAAGTATCACATGATCTCACTCATCTGTGGAATATAATGAACAACACAAACTGATGAACAAAAATAGATACAGACACATAGAAGCATAGAACAGACCATCAAACCTCAGAGGGGAGGGTGGGAGAGGGGTAAGAGATCAACCAAAGGACTTGTATGCATGCATATCAGCATAGCCAATGGACACAAGACAGTAGGTGGGTGAGGGCCTGTGCTGGGGGGTGGGTGGGGAGAGGTCAATGAGGGAAAAAGGAGACATATGTAATACTTTCAACAATAAAGAATTTAAATTTAAAAAGCTAATTGATAGGAAGAAAATAATATGTAATTGAGGCTTCATTCAATTTGTACTTTACCTGATTATCCCTGATCAATTTTATATTCTAATTAAGTGTGGAAAAAAGACAATGTCGATAAATTGTGGTCTTTCACATTTCTATAAATAGTATTTTATTCATCATCATGACTACTGATTTGATTAAATAGAGACTTAATATGCTAGGGCTTTTCTGCAAAAATTATGTTCTTTTAGTTGTTCCCTAAGGGCTATAAATATTTGTTTAAGCCCCAGTTTTCTAATCAAAAGTCTAAAGGTGTTTTTTAAATAAGAAAAATCATGTGTTAAAAAATTTAAATCTAGCCCTGGCTGGTTTGGCTCAATGGATAGAACGTCGGCCTGTGGACTGAAGGGTCCCAGGTTCGATTCCGGTCAAGGGCACATGCCCAGGATGTGGGCTTGATCCCCAGTAGGGGGCGTGCAGGACGCAGCTGATCGATGTGTCTCTCTCATTGATGTTTCTAACTCTCTATCCCTCTCCCTTCCTCTCTGTAAAAAATCAATTATATATATATATATATATATATATATTTATTAAAAATTTTAAATCTAAAGTGTTTTAAGTAATTAAGGGTAGTTTCAGCATTTTGAAAAATAGAAATGTATCTTCATGAAATGAAGTTTAAATTTCCTCACTAATGAAATAGGAATGATTATTTAAAATTTTTATAAAAGTTTTTCTTTGTCATTGGACACAATCATCATGATGGAAATTTGATGTAAGTATGCCCCATGCTGGAAAAAGACTGTGGCACCAACAAATTTTTTGACAATGGCCCTGATGGAATTGATTAGAATAGATATGTATGTAGGGGAAAATTCTATTCACCTGTGAATAAGTGAGTATTTATGAAATGACTGGGATCATGATGGTCTTCAATCCTGAAACTGGGACAGGATTCTACTTGGCTAAGGACAAGTGAACTATCACTACTGCCTTTTTTACCCAGTTTCTTTACTTGCCAGACCTTTAGTGGGTCAATTGTGAATATATAAGGGGACCCTCATGGAACAAGGTGTGATTTCTGTCATGTTCCTTGCTGAAATTGTTGATCATTGACAGACAAAAAGGTCCTCATACATTATTGGCACTTTAGCAAAAAAAATAAAAGTTTTGTAGTATGTTCAGGTACAAAGACTACGGATGGAGAAAGTGAACAATAGGGGTGAGACAACTAATCAGTTGTATAAGGAACTTTAATCAATAAATCTTGGTAAACCTGACTATCTCAATTTCCTTTTCTCAACTCCAACAATTTCACTTTATTCAGTTAGTCTTAGTTGTACCCTAGGATGCCACACTCACTATAATATGCTCAGAATCAAGAATTTTCCATTCTGTTGTCTTTTGAACTTATGTGTTAGAAGGATCCATTTCTTAAATGATTTTCCATTTATTGATTTTCAGATCAAGCAAATCTAACTTTTTTATGATATTTTGTGGTTGATTTTTCAAAATTATGGTAAGACTTATTTTGTCATCCTAAACATGCCAAGGAATTGTCATATCAGTTTTCCATAGTGAAGGATATATGTTAGTTTCCTGTGGCTTCTATAACAAAATACCACAAATAGCCTAAAACAAGCATGTCAAACTCAAAGGCTAACACGGGCCAAATAAACAAAGTTTAGGTTTATATGGGCTGCAAAAAAAAACCCCAAAACTTCAATTTTCATAGAAACATAGGTTATTTATTTATTTATTTATTAAATATATTTTATTGATTTTTTACAGAGAGGAAGGGAGAGGGATAGAGAGTTAGAAACATCGATGAGAGAGAAATATCCATCAGCTGCCTCCTGCACACCCCCTACTGGGGATGTGCCCACAACCAAGGTACATGCCCTTGACCAGAATCGAACCTGGGACCCTTTAGTCCACAGGCTGACGCTCTATCCACTGAGCCAAACCGGTTAGGGCGAAACATAGGTTTATTTTGATAGAGACATGCTGAATACAAAGGGCTGAAATAAATGAGTAATCGTTAACATAAATTAATAGAACATTTTAATAAAATTTTTTCTTGAACATTAACTTACCAGACACTGAATAACTGGACAAATTAATAAGCGTAACACAAATAAACCTATTTTTCTTGTTCTCCGAAAATGAAATATTTCCCATTGTACACACCAAACAAGTCAGTCCAAGACTAATGACGTGGCAATCGGCTGCTAAAATATTCACTGCTAGTATTAGTGGAGAGAAGTGGTGAGCCTGCCCATAAGGCATGTAAGGGAAATGAATACAACACGATTATGGTAATCAGTCATTAGCAAACATTGTAGTTCGTTATTAATAATCCTACATAATAAAAGCCTAATATGTAAATTGTCCCTTCAACCGGGAGTTCAACTGGTATTTCGACTGCTCGCTATGTGTGCTGACCACCGGGGGCGGCACAGAACATGGCGGGCATAGGCAACGATGCACTGACTGCGGGCGGCAGTGGAGGCGCTGCCAGCTCCAATGGGCCCTGACAAGAGCAGGGCCATGGCGGGATGGTGGAGCAGGTGAGCAGGTGGCACCAGGCCAAGGTGGG